CAGTTTGCTAAAAATATCTCAACACCAGTCAGTGAATTTCTGACTAAATATAAAGCCATAATTATATAAAAGGGATGGTGTAATTATTGGTGGCTGTATTCACTGCAAACCAATAATGAATGAGACAGCAACAAAATAAAATCCAACCTCAATCGATTAGAACAGCTTATAAATTTACAATTCAAAATTAGGGCACTGCCTCAATACTTTGTATTACTCTCAACTGCTCATAAAAAATAGAAGAACTATTAAGAGAAGGGTAAGTTTGCACAGCAAAGCATTCATCTGCTACAAAAGACCCACATTAAAATTGTAAGAACTACTTTATTTCAGCCCTCTTCTATGCAGCCAAATAAGATCACATTGTTTCCAACTGCAACTAGTAACAGACTTTTCATAAAAGTTTAAAGCTTCACATGGACAACTCTATCACATCCAGTGCTCTATTGTAATGCAAAGCAAATATCATAATGTAACTTAGGATAGAATGATGACTTTAACTCTGATTTTGGTGGCTTTACTAAGTTTAAATTAAATAGCTTTGTTTACATATATTCAGTCTTGCTGTATACATTTAAACAATCAACAAGAGGCTTGTAGGTCTAAATCTTGATCTATAACTTCCAGCTTTGTTTTTGTTTACAGATTAGGCAAATCCATGCCTTTCACTCCTTCTCAACAATACGTTTGGATGTTCTGTTCTCAGGAGTTGACAGGGTATAGATTGCCCAACTATACTATAAGAATGATATGACATGCAAACTTGGAAGCAAATCCATTTTTGTATGTGCCTGATTGTGTGTTTGTAAGAGAGAGAGAGAGAGATTGCCATGTAAGCTAAGTATGGATGTTCAAAAAGCTCCTTGCGGAAAGTGTTCTAACCATCATGTTTTACTTAAAGTGCTATAAGTTAGAGATGGAGCAATTCTCTGTTTTCACTGTTCAGTGTGGAGCCTGCCCGTACTGGCCAAGGCCCGCAGGTGAGGGGTACTCCCACATGAACCCCAGAAGGCTGCTAGAGCAGCCCCTCTCCCAAGCCCCACACTCCATTAGCTGGTGACTGTCAGCAGTGGCTGCAGGGGAAGTGGGGAAGGGAGCCCCCATGCCATGCAGCATCCCCCATTGCTGGGTTGGGTCTCAGGTGGGGCTAGACTGGGTCTTTGCAGCAAGGGGGCTCCTTCCCACCACTCCCAGCTTCTGGAATGGCCAAAAGCTGGGCCAGGCACTTTCATGCTGCAGCTGCTGGCTGCAGCTGTCAAGAAGCTGGGACAGAGGGGAGGAAGCCCCCTGCCACATGGACCAGGCTCAGTCCCCTCTCCCCAAGACCCAACCCAGCAATCTTGGGGGGCAGGGGCACATGGCATGGGAGCACCCTTCCCCCACCCACCCCAGCCTCTTGGCAGCTGCAGCATGATACTACCTGGCCCAACTTTTGGCTGTACTGGGAACTGGGCCTGGGTGGGTAGCACCCCCACTGTGCAGATCCAGCCTGACCCCCCTGAAGACCCTACCTAGCAATCTGGGGGCACCACGCAGCATGGGAGCTCCCACTCCTCACCTGCCCCAGGCTCTTGACAGCTACAGCACGAGACTGCCTGGCCTGGCTTTTGGCCACACTGGGAACTGGGGGTGGGGGAAAGGAGTCCCAATCCAGCAATCTGCAGGGAAGCGGGGGAGAATGCATGGCACAGGGGCTCTATTTCCCCACCCCCTGACTGGCTGTGTAGAAAGACAGAGCCTTTTCTGTCTCCTCTCTGCAACAGCATGGGGGCAGGTTTAAGTCTTGGTCAGCCAGAGGAGATGAGCACCAGTTGAAGCTAGCAAGCTGCCCAGAGAGGGGCCTTTGGGATATCGGGGGAATGCAACCTACTTTGACTCAAGATGAAATATAGTACAGATATTCAATTAAGTGCTCTAACCTAAAGGGCTTTAGTCTCATGCCACATCCATCCAGGGTTAATTTAGAGCAGGATCTTCCATTTTTAAAGCTCTTTATGTGTCTGTTCTGTTACAGCTGTAAATCACTTTATGTGCACTTAATGCACAATAAATGTAATGTCTGTACCCAGCCCTACTGTGTAGTCTACAGAGAAAATAAAATAAGGGCTCTAACAACTCAAGCCCAGGCGGTGAAATTCTGATAAAGGTTTTCTAGAGAGGGTTTTTGCAGTAACTACGAAGCTGCATGCAGATGTACACAGAAATCATGTCTTACTGGCAACATAGAGGTCCCTTATATTTCCTGAGTTTTGGTGGTTGGTTGCAGATAATTCAGCATTACACAGACATTATGTTTAATTTAATTAGAATCATAGAAAATTAGGGTTGAAAGGGATCTCAGGAGGTCACCTAATTTAATCCCCTACTCAAAGCAGGACCATCCCCAACTAGATCATTCCAGCCAGGACTTTGTTGAGCCAAAATTATACAGGTCATTTTCAAAAAGCTGTTAAAAAGTTAGTTTCTTCTATACTAGGTAAGAATCATACTATAGGATGTATAATCATATCTGCCAGCTGCTGCTGGATCTTTCAGTGAACCTTGCAAGCTTGCTAGTGATCTACTGACAGCGAAGATAATGTGACTCCATTTTAATCATTACTGTAATAACCAGAAATGTCACTAAAGAATGACTGGTTAAGGAATAGCAAATCCTGCATCAGCGCAGGGAGTTGGACTCCATAAGAAAATGCAATCAGCACCAATATGACAATAATATCCCGACTTTAACCACCATGATACATTGTACACAGTTTTGTTAATAAACCCACCCACACACACACATTATACATAAGGTAAACCCACCCACACATAGATATAAGTTAATTTTCCTTTAATACAGTTTATGTACACGTATATTTAATGTAGTGTTACATATTATAAACCTCTTTGAATTAAACCACACAGTTCTGTCATATGGTATCAGATGCTCCCAGAAACAAAGAATTAACCAGCATTTTTATGAGAAAACATACTTTCTTTTGCTCATTATTTCATACAACAAATCACTCTTCTGGAATCCCAGTTGTATGGAGTTTTTAAGCAGTGTGACAGGGAACTCTAGCCCTGTTACTAGGAAGTGGGGCAGCCCCTTTAAGAACAGAGATTACAGAGCATAGCTTGCCAGCAGAGCAGGGGTTAAAGGGTAGCCCTGCAGCCTGGTCAGCTGACTGGGGGCTATCACATGACCAGGAAAGAACTCAGGCCAGAGCTATATAAGCCCTGGGTTGAGCCAGCTGGGGGACAGCCAGCCCAGGCTGTGGCTGATTGTGGGCTCCTGAATGTCCAGGAGACTGAAAGAAAACAGCTCTACAGGCTGGGGCACAGGACAGAGCAACCCAGAGAGAAAGAGACATGGGGTAAGCAGTCATGGTGCCTGTATTAATTTTTCTTCTTTGTTATAGCCTAGGGGCTTAGCGTTCCTGTTATAGTTTAAACCGGCGGTTTGGGTTGGGACAATAAGGGGAGGTTTTTGGAGGTTCCATTAATGCCTGAGAGACATGTGATAGCCTTGAGCCCTGCCAGCAGCAGGCTCAAGGCTCAGGCAGTTACTGAGCCCAAAGTGAGCAGAGAGAGTGCTAGGCAGCAGCCACACAGGGACCTGGGACCTGGTGTAAATGTGAGCTAAAGCTTTAAAGCCAGGCCCAATGCAGTGGGACAAGGCTACATGGCTTAGCTAAAGTGAGGGAGAAGAGGGTAGGGAGGCCAAAGCCCCAACAGTGACAACAGTAACATCTGCAAGGCATGGGGCACAGTGTAGGGATGCTACGGAGCCATGGAATTAGCCTGTAGCACCCCTACACTAAGACAGGAGATCCTGACATCTTGGTGTTCTTTGGAGTGAAGACCAGGTATGGAAAGCCCTGGGGCAACCTCCCCTTTGAGAACCAGAACAACCATCAAGACATGGCAGGATAGTGAAGGGGAGACTGTTTCCAGAAGTAAATCAGAATAAAGGAGACTCTGGAGTGCCTCCAGGGGTTTTCAACCACCCTGGGGATATGCCCTGTTACAGCAGTTTCAAAGTACAGTTTGATATAGTCATCGAGGGGATATGCCTATAAATATATCAGCCTTATGTCCTGCTACCAAGAACACTAAAGGTCAAATTCTGTCCCACCTATTAGACACATAAGTGGACTTAGGTGCCTAAGTATGAGCCTATTCCACTGTGCTCAAGTCCCTGAAAAACTGTCAGTACAAAAGGTGGGCAAGTGTTCCTTCTCCTCACTGTTTTCATGTTCTAACTCATTCTCAACAGATGGGGTATAATGAAAGTAGATCTATTACTGCATCTTCAGGGACTCAAATAGAATTGAACAGAATCACACTTAGACACCTGAGTACACTTCAATGCCTAGCAGGTATGATAGAATCAAAGTAAACTCTTTCAATTGATTTTTAACTAGTCATGATAATCAATAGGATCCTGAGGTGTAGGAAGACATATCTGAATAACTACTGTCTGAGAGAAGAAGATCTGACAAGATGCTGAATATTTCTTTTGATGTGGTTAGTGTCATTTCCTATATAAAAGCCATAGGTGTTCAAAAGCCATAGCAAAGACACTACTTTCAGTACTAAAATGTAGTTCATAGAGGAAAAAGTCTTGGTGATTCAACTGAGGGATAGGCAAAATAATGTCTAACCTACCAGTATCAAGCATGAAGACAAAAAGGAATGATATCAGTTCTTTCCAAAAAGTAAAAGATAAAAAAATAGAAAAACAATGCACAGAACAACAAATGGGCAGACTGTAATCAGCGATAAGACTCTATTTGAGCATAGTGAGCTCTAGATAATCAGGATAGATTAGGACAGTAAGGAAGACTGATATTTTACAAGAGTGTCTTGAAATGGAAAAATATTCAAAGACCAAAAGAATAGAGGACATAAGGTAGAAAACTCTGAACACAGAAACAGCAGAAAACTTGGAATCAGTGGCTATTTATTTTTCTTTCTCCAACACACACGTTTATGCTATTGACACAGCTCCCTACCAGTCTGGTACAGCATGCCAGTCTGTGAATATTCCACCTGTACTCTGAGCACCACATTCAATGAGATGGCCTGCAAGACTAGAAAACAAAACAGACTTTAGTGACTAAATATGATGAATAACAAGCTGTCACCAATCTAAAAATATAATAGTACAATTTCAGCAGAGTTAAGTAACATAAGGAAAAACCTTTAGATCCTCTCCTTAATCTTAACCTCTGATGCTGTTTGATATATATAAGTCAATATTTATAAAGCTAACTAGTGAGTTTGAATGTCCAATGTAAGAAACCTTAAGAGACTTGATCTTCAGAGGAAAAGAAAAATCAAGACTTCCTGAAAATCAGGCTCCTATAATGTGTCTCAAGCTTAGCACCCAAAAATCAGTACTCACTTTTGAAAACCTTAGCCTAAATTCAATATTTGTATCTACCATGCTGTTAAAAACTAAATGAAGAAAACCCCATCAACATTATTGTTTAAAGCATGGCTGTCCAACTTCTGGGCAGGCAGGGGCAACAAACCTGGGAGGGTTGCACACCAAGCATGCCACAGACTCAGGGGGCCGCGTGCTGCACGGGCAAGAGGGCACCTCCCCTCAAATCCCTCCTACCATGTGGGCTGCCCTGCACTCCCCCTGCTGCACATAGTGTGAGCAGGCCAATAGGGCTGTGCGACGCTTCAGTCGCTGATTCAATTCTGAGATTTGGCCTGATTCGGCAGCCAAATCTTTGAATCAAATCAGAAGACCAATTAATCTCTCTGAATCAAATTAGAAGCCTCCGATTTGATTCAGAAAGGTTTGATGATTAGGCCACAGACACAACTTTATATGTTTTTTCTACATACCTCGAGGTACTAGGCATGGCTCGTGAACGCTAAGATGGTGGGGCAGATGGAGCGTCCCACGGGAGCACAGTGGGGTCTGCCACACGCTCGGTGACAGATGCGGGAGTGGACCAGTCAGCGACTGATGCCTCCTGGGTCTGGTGGGGCACCCGGGGTCCCCCTGCAGCTGATCACCAAGCCAGGGAGGTGTGTGTGGGGGTGGGGCCCTGAGCACTTAGCAGCAGACCTGGAAGTGGACCAGAAGTATTTCCAATCCACTTCTGGGTCTGCCGCCAAGCGTGCGGGCTCCCCCTGCCCTCCGTGCTCTTGTAGGACACTCCATCTGCCCCACCATCTCAATGCTCACAAGCCATGCCTGGTACCTTGACATACATAGAAAAAACATATAAATCTGCATCTATGGCCAAATCACTGATTCTCCAAATCAGAATCGACTCTGCAGATTCGGATTCTGCCGAATCAAAATCGGGACAGTGATCGAAATCAGCAACTCGAATCATTGTCCCCCAAATTGGGCCAAATCCAAATCCAAATCAAATACTGCCTGCTTTACACACCCCTATAAGCCAGCTCCATCCCTCTCTTGACCGCACTTGGCAAAGGAGGGGATGGAAGGGGAGAAGCAGAGAGGCAGCCAGGCCGGAGCCCATAGGCGGCATGCTAACACTTTGAGGGCCAGCTGGACAGCCCTGATTCAAAGGACTGCACCCTAAAGGGATAGTATTCTTCATTAATGAGTATGTATTATGTGTCTTAAAAATAAACTAACACTATTTTTTGTATCTAGGATATCATTATATAGAAAAGGATTACAGATAAAATAGTGGTCCAACTGCAACCAGTGGTCAACAGCAGCTGACTTTAATGGAGCTAGAGTCACCTTCCATATTTACCTCTTAAGCAACAAAGAGTTCAAAAATAATGTTAATAGGTTCACTGAGATAATCATATAAGAGTACCATGTGTTTTTTTTAAACTTGCAAGGGACATTCTGACTTCTTACTTTGACTTCTTTCATAACACATCAGACTGAACCCAGTAATTCCTGAACCTAACTTTACAGGCTATACTTTTCTATATA